TGCATTTTACACCAGCCCTCAGGGCACCTGAAGCCATCTCAGACCAGGGCCTGTGGCCCACTGTGAGCAGGGAAGGGATGCAGTCCCAGAGATGGCCCTGGTCCTGTGCAGAGGGTCTCAGAGAGACGCTATTAACCCACATCCAGGAAACGGCGAGTGAGGAGGCCGATGTGGCCCGACTGTGGAGCTGGAATGAAGGTGTTGGCCCCTGCATCTCTGCAGAAAGGAGCAGGGAGGCGGTCCCAGTGAGATGGTCCGGTGAGACTCACTGTCTAGCTTTAGCAATGGAGACCAGAGACCAGGAGGAGGGGGTCCAGAGGGTAGCTCTCGGGCTGCACTGAGTCTGAGCTGTGGGGGTGTCATGTGGAGATTGTCATCTGTTCAAGAGCATTTGTTGAGCATCTCATGTGTACCCAGCTTTGTTCGAGGCCCTGGATACAGCAGTAACGGATCATCGTCTCCGCCTGCCCTGGAGTCTACTTTCCCGTTGGGGAGACCTGACGGGGCAAAGAAACGAAGGCATTAGTGAGTCAGTAATACGCACTGTACGTGAGGTGGTCAGGGAAGCCATGACGCGGCATGTTCTCGCATAGACAAACTCAGGAAAATGCGTGGAGACTTTCCCAGGACGTATACAATGCAGTATGGCGATATCGTACGTCACACTGGGTGGTGGCGTGTGCTGGCGAGGACATACGACGTGCCTGAGTGGGCGACGTGGAGGTCGAGAAACGCTCAACAGTGGCTGGGTTCTGGAATTCAGGCAAGAGGTCTAGGCTGGGGAGATGCGTTTAGAGGGACAGCACTCATTTATCCACTCAGCAAATGTTTACTGGGCACACTTCAGAACGTTCGTGGCAAAGGAAATTAAAGTACAAGATTATCTTGGTGCAAAACAAATTGAAATCCATGCATAGTTTTTCCGTAATACACTTTTTCATCTACTTTTTGAAGACTCTTCAATGTAGCAGGCACTGTGGTGGATGCTAGGCTATACAGTCCCTCCGTCCCTGCTCTATGAAATTCCCGGGTTAAGTAAAGGTTGTAGTTAACTCTATGGATGGTAGAGAGAAGGGAAGGGAAGGGAAGGGAAGGGAAGGGAAGGGAAGGGAAAGACCTGAGATAGGTAGAGGATCCTCGCTGTTTGTTTGTTTTTGTTTGTTTGTTTGTTTTTTAGAGAGATTTTTGCTATAGGGCGTGGGTGCTTGCTGGAGAGACAGAGAGACAGAAGCGAGAAATCACTCCCCAGGGGGATGGCCATGCTGCAGTCCTTTCTCCTCCATTCTCTCAGGATCTTGGGCACACACACGTCCACACCCAGTGTGAGTTTTAAGTCTTCAGATCCAGGACTCGAACCAGCGGTGACTTGAGTAGGAGTCGAGCGACGTAACCGTTGTGCCATCTGCTGGTCCCGATCCTCACTGTTTAAGGGAGGACAGAGGAGACCGTAGGAGAGGAGACTGAGCAGGAGTTAGCAGCCGTAGCCAGACAGCCAAGGGAGGCAGAGAATGAGAGGGAGGGAGTGGCAGTGCCGCCAGCAGGTGCAGGTGCCGAGCGGAGCTGAGACCTCAGCTGACAAGCTAGCCTCAGTGAAAGTTTCCTGGCAGCCAGGTTCTACATGGGGAGGGCTGAGGAGTGGGTGCACAGGGAGGAAGTGGAGGCAGAGACTGGAGGTCGCTTTCGAGAGCCCTGTGGTTGGGGAGGAAGCTAGAGGGAGGGAGGAGAGGAAGGAAGAGGAGGCAGGGTGGAGGGAGCCTTTGGCTCTTTGAAGATAAAGGATTGAGCAGAAGCACAAGTGCTGGGGGAAGCCCGTGCAGGGAAGCAGCTGAAAACACAGGGCAGTGATGATATTTCAGGATCCAGAGGGAGGCTCAGCCTTGGACAGAAAGTGACCCCACAACGGGAACAGTGACATCATTTTTCAAAAAATGGTTTTAGTTTATTATTTCTTCCATGAGCAAAAGAGACAGAGAGACAGCACCCGACAGGGTCTTGATGCCGTCACCCTCCCTCCGGCTCAGCTAGTCCCGGGTCACGGGCACATACGTGCCCAGTGCACTCAGGGAGGACTCCGGACACAAACCCAGAACTCTTCCACGCAGCTCAACCTGGCAGAGCAGGTGGTGCCATGTGAGACCTTTGAAAACTCAGGCCTTGCTGTTCGAAATGGGTTAAGAGTTCACCACAGTGACGCTTAGATTAGAGGTGGTCAAGAGGCCCACTGGAGCTGAGTCATGGCCTCTGGGGCAGACACACTTGGGCCGGGGATGGCCACCACCTCACTCTACCCCAAGATCCCATGAGAGCAGCAACTGACCCTCCCTGCACCCGCACGCAGGCCCCCTCCAGGAGCAGAGGGTAGCAGCTGTCGGTCTCATGGATGGGATGGAAGGGGGAGGCCGAGTGGGGCCGAGTGGGGCCTGGAGAAGGGCGAGCATTTGCTGAGGAGGACGTGGCCAAGAACCTGTCCCCGAGAAGTGAGCAGGTGGCAGGAAGTGAGACTGAGAGCAGAGGCTCCAGGCTCTGGTTCATGTTCCCTTGTCCCATCGAGCTTCCCTACAAAACGCACTCAGAGTTAACAGAGACTCTCAAGATGGGACCTCAGAGCAGTACAGTCCAAGGCTGGCACCTCCCAGCGTGCAGTGTGCCCTGCCCTCCGTCCACGCAAGAGAGGGCGGATGCTGGCAGGGGTCTGAGCGGCAGGACTCTGACAGCAATGTCTGGAGTGGAGCTTGAGTGTTAGTGACGAGGGGGAGGATGGCGGGTGGGGAAGGGGCTTAAGGAAAAGAAGGTGAGGTCAAGGGCATGAATGATTTGGGTACTAGTCTCCTATCACCGCTGCACCAGATTTCCACAAATGTAGTGGCTTAAAACACGGCTATTATCTTACTACTCTAGAGGCTGGTAGTCTGCAACTCTCACGAAGCTAAAACTCAGGCTGTCAGCAGGGCTGCCTTCCTTCTGGAGACTCCAGGGAAGAGTCCATTCTTGGCTTTTCCCATCTCCAGAGGTCGCCTGCATTCCTTGGTTCAAGGCCATGTCCTCCATCTTCAAAACCAACAGAGTGACATTTTCAAATCCGGATGTTGATTCGATCATTTGATGTTATAATCAGAGACTCAGCCCCTTTTCTTCTTCCACTCTGAAATTTAGAACACTATTTTTCATCTCCAAGCTTGTTCCATCATGATCACAAGGTGGCTGCCCCCGTACCAGACATCACACCCAGGTGTCTGGTGTGAAAGGAAGGTCAAAGGGTTCTCCTGATGCTGCTCTCTGCTTGAGAAGAACTGCCAGCTTGCCTGTGGCTCCATAGCACGGAGGAAAAGGAGAGCCAGACCAGCTACATTGACCAGTGCGAGCCGAATTTGCCCGCTGGAAACCAGGACATGTCAGTTCCTGGCTGGGATACTAGCATATAGCCATGAGGATGTAGGTGGCCACAATCCGGTCAGTCTACGGCTAGGGTTGAAGCATAGCCTGTGGCCAGGCTCAGGGCTCAGCATGCGGCTGAGGTCAGCTTGCAGCCAGCATCCTGAACAGGTCAACAGCATGTGTCGGAAATCGGTCTCGAGCTTGAGGTCAGAATTCATTCTGAGACTGGGGACAGGACCTGGACAGTGGCCGAGGCCAGAAGTCAGTCTGTGGCTGTGTCCGCGGTCATTCTGTGGTTACTAGTGGGTATTGGAGTGGAACCACGATCAATTTGGTGTCTCTCTCCACCTCTCTTTCTCTCTGTCTCATTCTCCTTCTCCCTAAAGATGTTGGAAGCTTTACAACTTCGATCTACAGGGAGGACAGTAGTCGGGGAAAGGCTACATGGCGGGACG